ACTCCTTTGTCAGGCGGGCATTGTGAACTGTTGAAAAACCCAATCATTACCACACAGACGAGGGCCCTCAGTCATGAGGGATGTCCGCTGCAACATCTCCACATAGCCAGCTGCTGTTTGACGCCCCTGCACAACCTGAAGCTCCATTGTTCCATTGAAGGAAAACACACCCCAAATCATGATGGCGCCCCACCACTGTGCCGTGTAGAAAACATCTCAGGTAGGATCTCCTTGTCATGCCAGTAACGTTGGAAGCCATCAGGACCATCRAGGWTAAATTTTTTCTCATCAGAGAAGACAACTTTCTTCCACCTTTCAATGTCCCATGTTTGGTGCACCTTTGCAAAGTCTAAATGGGCAATTTTGTGGCGTTGAAGAAGACGTGGCCTTTGAAGACGTTTTTTGTTTCTGAAGGTCTCCTCTCACAGATGCCGTCTGATGGTTATTGGGCTGCAGTCAGCACCAGTAATGGCCTTAATTTGGGTAGAGGATCGTCCCGTGTCTTGACGGACAGCCAATCGGATCCTGTGGCTCAGACCTGGTGAAATTTTTTTGGGTCTACCACTTGACTTTTTTGTTCCATAACCCTCAGGATCATTTAAAAAATGCAAAATGACTGTCTTACTGCGTCCAACTTCAGCAACGATGGCACGTTGTGAGGGGCCAAAATTATCTAAGGGAGTTTTGCAGGTTTTTTTGCCTAAAAATGGGGAAATGTCCTGAAAAGAAAAATAAAGCTTTTCTGATGTGGTTTAGTGGTTCAGGAGATGGTAGATGGATTTTTCTGACTGGGAAGTGTCTTGGGGGGGGGAGAGTAGTGGTGCGTGTGTGTAGCACTTTGGACTCTGGATTATGAATTGGGTCATGTTGTAGGGAGTACTCTTTAAAAGTAAGTAAAAAAAACTTTCATATCTGCTGTTTGTTTATATGTTGTTAATATGTAAATGCTTTTGAGGAAAAAGAAAATAACTGGCGTTTTCTTGTGTTTTCAGCTGTGTGTGGTTGGTCATTTATTTCTGAATCTCTGGTAAATGTTGGGTTGACATAAATGCCAAGTTGTGGCTTATCCAGGTGTGAAAATCTCATGTTCTCTGAACCAACTTTTCACAATATGAGCCTGATGAATCCTGGCATTGTTATCTTGGAACATTCCCATGTTATCAGGGAAGAAGAAATCCATTGATGGAATAACCTGGTCATTCAGTATATTCAGGTAGTCAGCTGACCTCAAGTTTTGGGCACATATTGCTGAACATAGACCCAGCAACCCCACATCAAAGCACTGCCCCCACAGGCTTGTACAGTAGGCACTAGGCAAGAAGGTTGCCAGATTAAATACCAGCTGGAGAACTTTAGAGTTTGCATTTACTCTCCATGCATGTGTGGGTTTTCTTCAAGAACCCCAGTCTCCTCCCACAGACCAAAAGTATGAATGTCAGGTTAATTGATAACTCTAAATTGTCTCTAGGTGTGAGTGAGAGAGTGAATGGTTGTCTTGTTTGTAGAACTGTTTATTCCACCTCGAGATGACCTTGTGATGGACTCGTGACCTGTCCAGGTTGTACCCTGCCCCTCGCACAGCGCCTACTGGATTTGGGCACCAGTGACTCCCATGACCCTGAAAAGAAAAGTTGATAATGAATGGGAGGGATGATGGGTGCATTACTTCACTCGCCTCTCCTATTATCCTGCTGCCCCCATCTCTCTGGAACAGGCTAAATCTGGACTAATTGGACCACATGACTTTCTTCCTTGCTCCAGAGTCCAATCTTTATGCTCCCTAGCAATTTTTTTAGTTTTTATCTTTTCAATTAGCCTCACTGATAAGTGTTTTTTTTTTTCTTATGGCTAGCTGCACAGCTGTGTAGTACAAATTTCTTGAGTTCTCCACATTGTGTGTGTGGAAATGCTTTTATTTTCACCAACACCGTTCTACTGTTGTCATGATAATTTTACCAAACATTTAAGTGATCACTAATCATTCATATCAGGATTCATCTTCATCTTTTCCACACATGGTTGTTTAACAAATGAGAAGTAACTCACTGCATCAGTCAGGGTTGAGCCAGCTGAAACATGATCACCCATACAGTAATTATCCAATGGGAGGCTCTCTTTTATTAAAGCTTCAATCATATTATGGCTAACCTTGACCAAGGAGTGAAGTACAGGAGGTCCAAACTACTTTAAACTACTTTGTTTAAAAGTATTTTTAAATGCATATTGAGCATATTGATCTGTGAAGGACTTGAGACCTGTCCAGGGTGTACCCTGCCTCTCGCACAGTGACCCCCGTGACCCTAGAAAAAGGAATAAACGGGTATAGATAATGGATGGATGGATATTGAGCAATAAGGAAGGAACAGTGTGATTTGGCAAAAACCAACATCTGAAAAAGAAACTTGCATTTATTTATTTATTTATTTATTTATTTATTTATTTATTTATTTATTTATTTCATTTATTTATTTATTTTATTCAAGAACATGTTACATTGAAGGGCAGGACTAAATAACACACTGCACTTGAGTCAGCAGGGAACACTGATCTTTTTGTGGCTTCAACCATCAGTCCTTCTAAAATATCTCGATGGTCCACATGAAAATCCATCGGTAGAATTTAGATGAGATATTAATGATTGCTGATGCAGAATCATATTTTACGATAACATTTTATCATTTAACTTGTTTTAGACAATGTCTTGCCTCAGTCAAGCTGAACACTGTGAAAAAAACAAAAGTGATAATTGTCAACATACAATCATCATCATCATCATCATCATCATCATCATCATCATCAGTGGATCAAATATTACACAATTCAACTTAAAGTCTGTCATTTTCTATGTGCTAACTAATATACTGTGGTATTTAAGCCCTTATGTCAACCACTTTTACAAAATTAAGCGCTTTAAAGCAAAACACAAGCATTTGTGTTTTTTGTTTGTTTGTTTGTTTGTTTGTTTGTTTGTTTGTTTGTTTGTTTGTTTTTGTTTGTTTTTGTAGAATATTTATAAATGATCGTCAGGCTGATAAGTAAACTTCAATAAAGTCTTGGATGTTCTCGAGCTGAAATATTTTTATTGTGTTTTGTTCAAAATTAGTTATTATAGAAGTTGTGGATATTTGCCTAAAGAATGAACACATAAAACATGTTTTTGAGTAAAAAAAAATGGTTACATCATAAAACAAAAAATTGGGAGGGGGGCTTGTAGGCCTTGAAAAACGAATTTTGCCTCTGATCCTGGACTGGAAACAATTTAATTCTAACACACACACAATATAAGGAGGAATTGACCCCTGCAACATCTTCACAGGTCCTGAGAGATGTTCAGAAATTAGTTTGATTTTTGCAGCTGAACATTATTAGGCTTTTTATGAGGTTTACATGTTTGTTTAGAAAATAAAGGTAAAGCTGCTTAGTTAGACTTAAAGTTATATTAATTAGTGGGGGGGATGTGTGTGTTGGGGTAAAAAGGATAAACTTTAACTGACACAGAGAGCACACAAATTTATTTATTTAGATTAAAAAAGGCAAAAAGAAAAATGTTTTATAGTCCAATACAATATAATAAATAAAAGAAAAGGTTTAACCAGTTATTAAGTGTGTCATTTTTTTTTACTATTTCGATAATAAATAAATAAACAAAATTAATAATTATTTTAAAGGGAGCTCAATGTATTCCACACATACAAAAAAACGAACTACTTTATCGTTTTGATAAGTGAAACTTTCCTCCTCCGATCTCCGTCCAGCCACCGACACATTGTCTGCAGAACAGCCAATAGACACCACAGAGCCTGAGCCCTCATCCAATCACAGCAGGGTTTTTTCTGTGGGCGGGGTTTAGCTTCTGCGGAGGTTGAAGCCTGCGATGAGCTGTTCAGAAAATGACAGGATGAGAGAAATGCTGGAGCTTCTGGACATGGTGTGTGGACCCGGATGAGACCAGTCGGCATTCGCGTAAAAAAAAATAAAAAATAAAAACAACCTCTGAGCTCTGTTTATGTTCAGGTAAGACAACACAATTTTTTTTGTTTTAATTACATGTTCAAACAAGTGTTTGTGGGCCTGTGTTCAGTTTATCGACACTTTTATTCTGACAGTCCATGCAGATAATATAATATGTGTTTCATTTTATTTATTTATATTTTTTCCCCAAAAGCTTTCTGATCCCAGAGACTACACAACCGACGTGATGGATCCCTGAGCCGTCCGTAGCCCCCAAACCCTGTGAAAACACCTCTGTAATCCAGGAATTACCTACTCTTTTTTATTTTTATTATTAAGCTTTTTTATTACTATTATTTTATTTTATTTTTCGTCACCATGGTCAGGTGCACGCGCTCCGGCAGCTGTGGGTTTTAGGCCGGGGGTGGGGCAGGTGGAGACGGCTCGTGCGGCTTCATGAACCTCTGACGGACCGGGTGGACGCCTCGACATGAAGGAGAAGTGTAAAAACGCGGCCCGGACTCGTCGGGAAAAGGAGAACAGTGAATTTTATGAACTGGCCAAGCTTTTACCGCTTCCGTCCGCCATCACCTCGCAGCTGGACAAAGCCTCAATCATCCGGCTGACGACCAGCTACCTGCGGATGAGAGCCGTGGTTCCTGAAGGTAAACAGTCAGGGGCTGCGTCTAATTACTGGCGTGCTGCTTATAACAATTAGTTTAATGTGAGGAACTGGGGATCCGTGTAAATACAGTTAGATTTGTACAAGCTAATAAAACAAAAAAAATACAAGACTGCAATATAAAAACTGTAGGTCTCACAAAATAAAAATAACCCATCTGCTACACTAAGTCCCTAAAATATGGTCCTTGTGTGCGATTATTATTATT